TGGCCTTGCAGTAATAGGCCTTGGGTTACTGCTGGTAATCCTGTCTTCCTCTTGTAGGGTTAGAGGAGGTCAGAACATGTAGCCTCCTTGTCGTTTTTGCAATCAGTAAACCAGGGATCATTAATAGTGGTGGAGGAAAAATAGAAGAAGCAATGCCAACAAATGTTTAATACAACACTACACATAAAGTATCGGATTCTTTAAGAAAATGCTGCACTGAATACAAACAAGCCTGAAAAAATATCCAAAACAGCAATGTGACAGAACACTTGGTTTGTGGGTACGCCTCATGACTTTCTATTACAATCAAATTCCCTATAATGACAACATATTGTATTAGAATGTGAACGGTAAAAACTGAAAACATACCTGTTAAAAAGAAAACTCACTTCAAGACACTAATAGGTTCCAGAGATTTTGTAATAAATACAATTTGAATGTAACAAAAGCAAAATGCTATTTCAGTACTTATCTAAAGCCATTTGCTAAAACTGAAACGGTACTTGCTTTCAATCACAGGCTGTGTGAGGTGTCAAATGAGTACAAAGAAGGGATATTCAAGGTTCCCCTTGTCTTTTACATTAACCAATCAGTCCAAAATAATAACTTAGGTTTTGTTAAGAATTCCAAACGATTTGTAACTGTCTACATGTTCATTACATATACATGATGTATTTCAAATATTATTTTCACATATTCAGTAGAAGTAATGAGGGAAGACCTTGCTATGTGGGTGAATCACCAACATCTTTCAAAGTACGTGGCAAGGAAAAATTTTCCCGTAACACTTTCTTACATTGTTTGGTTTCTATCGCACGTATTTTCTTTCAGGTTTTCAAACAGGAATGGCCAGAAAGCTTTCCAACATTATGCATACATGTATATTGTTTGCTTTTCAACATTATATATACTTATAGTCTCTCATTCCAGTGAACCTTCTCACGTGTCTTCAAAAGACTGCAAGAACACTGAAGAGTTTCTCTCAATCCTTACACACTTAAGGCCCCTCTCTCACCAGTGGAAATTCTGGTGTCAGGTGAAGCCTAACAAATAACTAAAGACTTTTTCACATTTCTTACATTCATAGGATGTAGTTCCATGGTGACTTTTCTATTCATTGACATAAAAAAGAAAAGCAAGGATTTTACATTCCTTTATTCACAAAACCAAAACCAAACCCACTGCCATGGACTCAAATTTGATTATCGGAACCCACACGTGGTTTCTAAGACTGTAAATCTTAGAAAAACTAGATTGCCTCATCTTCCTCCCATGGAGCAGATGATGGCTTGAACCACCAACTTTCTGCTTAGTAGCCAAATGGCTTACCACTATGTCACCAGAATGCTTTTCTTATTCATAAAATAGCATTATTATATACGCCTCTCTACATCATGAGTTGGTGTATGTGCTAGGTGTTAGGACTTACTAAAAGCTGTCCCATATTCCTTTTATGTAGTGAAATGTGAGGTCTTAATAAAGAATTTCCAATATTCCTTACATTCATAAAGCCTCTCTCAGTTGTGAGTTTTTATGAGACAGGGCTGAGTACCGTTTAAAAGCTTTCCCACATTCCTCATATTCATAAGGCTTATCTTCAGTGAATTCTCCTATGTCTAATGAGGTTTGAGGAACGAGTAAAGGCTTTCCCACATTCTTTACATTCATAAGGCTTCTCTCCACTGTGAGTTCTTACGTGATCAGATAGGGCTGAGGACCGTCTAAAAGCTTTCCCGCATTCCTTACACTCATAAGGCCTCTCTCCGCTGTGAGTTCTTATATGAACAGACAGGCCTGAGGGCCATATAAAAGCTTTCCCACATTCCTTACATTTATAAGGCCTCTCAGTACTGTATGTTCTTTCATGTAGGGACAGGTATGAGGCCTTCCTAAATGCTTTCCCACATTTCTTACATTCATAAGGCCTTTCTTCATTGTGAGTTCTCACATGTTTACTGAGGTATGAGGAACAACTAAAGGCTTTCCCACATTCCTTACATGTATAAGGCCTCACTACACTGTGAGTTCTCATATGTTTACTGAGGTATGAGGACCAACTAAAGGTTTTCCCACATTCCTTACATTGATAAGGTCTCTCTTTACTGTGACTTCTGGTATGTCCCATGAAGTATGATAAACAACTAAAGGCTTTCCCACATTCCTTACATTGATAAGGCTTTTCTCCACTGTGAGTTCTCGTATGTCTAGTGAGTTGTGAGTAATAACGAAAGGCTTTCCCACACTCCTTACATTCATGAGGCTTCTTCCCACTTTGAGTTCTTACAGGAACAGACAGGGCTGGGGACCGACTAAAAGCTTTCCCACATTCCTTATATTCATAAGGCTTTTCTCCACCGTGAGTTCTCATATGTTTACCAAGGTGTGAGGAACAATTAAAAAGTCCCCCAGAATTCCGACATTTACGAAGTTCCTCTGTAGTAAGTGCTCTTGAACAAACTTTTAGGTAAGAAGGACAACTGTAGGCTTCTTCACATTCCTTAAATGAATAAAATTTATATCCAGTGTGAGATGTGAAGTGACGATCAAATTTATGATCAATGAAAGCTTTCCCACATTCACAACATTCAGAGAGATTTATACCACCAGGAGTTCCTCTGGTCCTAGGAAGATCTGCAATCTGGCTTAAAGTTTTTCTACACTGATTACCTTCTTTATGTTTCTCTACTTTATGTTCTTCACTTGCATGGAGACTCTGTATCATACATTTTCTGTTGAAAATAGAAAGTATGTTGTTAGAATTAAATTGTTTACCATCCCAAAATTAATATACACAAAGAATGTGCATTTTCTGCCCCGAGTTGTCTCATATTGCATAAGTTCAATCACGTCACAGATGGAACTAACATTACTATTACAGTCGTTCTAAATAATGGGGCTTTCTGATAATTGTGTACAAGTGAATTATGTTGTAAATACACAATAGCTGACTCACATTTATGGTAATACTGTATTGTAGAAATTATGTGACTACATAATCATAAAGCTAGTTTTATAAACACATACATACACACACATAAATATCAAGATACTTTTTAAGACTATCTCCTGAGACACTGCCTACTGTCACATTTATACCTCAAATGCCTTCTCTGCTTGTTGTGCTGATCTTCATTGCCATGGGATTTGCAGATTTCTCCTAGCACGGACAACCAGGAGTCATTCGTCATGAATCGTACTATTATATGTTCATCGGACTTTTGTCCATTATCCTGTTGAGAAACTGACCCAATAATTTTAGCTGGACTTTCATATTATGGAACAAAACAGTAAGGCAATTTTACGAGGAGCAAGACAGCTATGAGGTGAGAAAGACTCTAGCATTTTGGTAACGGTCCAAAGAGTAAGAAACTAAAGGTGATAGTGACTATACATGGGTATAACTAGGAAAGCAAAACTAAAAAGTATAGCAAACAATGCATGTGCACAGGGGTAATATTAAAACAGAAATTGGAGAAGGTCTTTTCCAATAAACACAGAGGAATGAGAGAACTGATATAAAATTTAAAACATCAGCTCAGGTAAGTGTGGAAGTTCTGATTCCTCAAAATAAAAGTGACTTTTTCAAGTTGATTTCTTCAAATTTAATTCCATCACAGCACGGTGCTCCTTCAGAGGATTTTTGCCTTCCTTTGCTCCCAGACACAATGGCTCTGGATAAGTCCTAGCTTCACTCAGATCTTTGCTTCAAAAGGAGACAAATTAATGTGACTGAGATGGGCTTATCAGGAAAGGCAGATTATGTGGGGAAAATTTTCCTAACATTGTGCCAATATTTTGGTCTTCAGGGTCCCCAGAGATGGACAGCTTTGAGTTTATCTGTGGGAAAATAATCACCCAAAATTGCTAATATGCACAGTAAAACTCTTCTGAAGTCCTAAACCACAAATCGTTCTTATGCAGCCAATTCTCACACTTACAACACTTCTAGAACTCGAAAGCTTTTAACAAGAGAAATAAAAAGACACTTCAACACCTAAGATTTTTACATTCATGTGGAAGCCACTTGAGTATAAGCACCATGAGGGCAGTGAAAATGTGTCATGTTTACTAATATATTCCCCTAGCTCAGACCAAATTCTAGAAGAAAGTTGATGAGAACAATAAATTTACATATTAAGGAAATAAATACAAATAAAGTGAAGCCATCTTTACCTGAGGCCAGGTTCCTGATGGTTTCCACCATCACATCTCTGTACAGGTTCCTCTGAGAAAAGTCCAGCAAAGCCCATTCTTCCTGGGTAAAGTCCACAGCCACATCCTCAAAAACCACTGAGTCCTAAAGCATCACACATATTCTGGATAAGCAAGGTATCATGTTTCCCCATGTGTGCCAAATGATGGGTGAGGCTGACAGCTCTGGGAAATTGAGAATTTCCAGAGCACAACTGGTTCTGTTTTCTTTCTAGGGTTTGGACATCAGACTTGTCCATTTGTTGTTTGCACATGTAGATTTAACAATGCTTCTAACACATTAAGCTCATCGCTACTATTTGACTATGACCAACTCCAGTTCTAGTCCTCTCTTTACTTATGGTCCAGAACACACAACAAAAGGAAAGAAATCCTTTGGGGTAGTTAAGCTGAGTGTCAGCTTGGGTGGGCCTGGTTTTGAGTGGCTGGGACCTGCATATAGTTATACCCCATGATGAGAATGGTAATCGATGCCATGGTGCAATCTACTGGATCAGCTGAATAGCTCCCTTAGAGATGTGGTCTGCTTCCAGTATATAAGGAGAATTTTTGAGAAAGGTCTCTGCAGCTCTTTGACACACTTGGACCCTGCATGTAGCCAAGACTTCATTTAGCAGCCTGCCATGTGTCCTGTTGATCTTGGGACTATCTCTGGACTTGATCTAGTGGCCTGCCATGTTGTGTGGTAATACTGGGATTGTGCCATCTTATTTGCCAACCTCGGGCCTGTTAGCCTCAGCAGCCAACAGCTGCCTGAGTGAAAAGACACCTTGAGTTCTAGTGAGCTGAAAGCAAGAGGCAGAGCTAAAGCCTAAGGTTGAGGGGCTTTCACCCAGCCCCTAGAACTGGCATTCTGAACTCAGACTTCTAGCCTCCAAACTGTAAGAGAATAAATTCCTGTTTGTTGAAAGACCCTTCTTGTGGTATTATATTAGAGTAGCACTAGAGAACCAAAACATCCTCTAACAATGAAAAAGCTATTACCACATTCAGGCCATTTCTTCTTGGAACAAAATAATTTCATCTCCTTTCATAAGACTAATCAGAGCACTCAAGAAAAAAATCAAGCTCAAGGTGAAAGCTGGTTGAGATACTTATAACACTTATAACAATGACGAATCATTGAAGGGCTGGCAGCTTTTCACTTAGCTTTAATTGCCAGAACAAATACGACAGATTCAGACATGGTAGTGATTTCATAATTATCAGACTGGGAATTTAAAACATCTATTATTCATATGGGGAGCTCTGGTAGCATAGTGGCTAAGGCACTTGATTGCTAACTAGAAGGCTGGTGGTTCAAACCCACCAGCCACTCCTTGGAAGGAAGATGGGGCAATCTACTTCTGTAGTGATACTGCCTTGGAAACCCAAGGAGGGGTCGCTATGAGTCAGGTCCGACTCGATGGCACATAACAACAACAACAATGTTATTCATACGATAAAGCTGCCAATGGAAAACATGCACCCCATGCAGGAACAGAAGGGTAATGTGACCAGAGATGGAAACTCTGAAAAACTTAAAAGTAAATCCTAGACCTCAAAACAATGTAAAAGAAATGAAGAGTATCTTTAACGGATTCAGCAGTTGATTGGATATAGCTGAGAAAATAAAAAGAGCTTCAAAATAGGTTAACAGAAACATTCAAAACTGAAATGCAAAGAGAAAAAAAATGAATGAAAAGGGGAACAGAATATCCAAGACCTGTGAAACAGCAGATGTAACATATGTAATAGAATAAAAGAAGAAAAAATTAAAGGAAATATTTCAAGGGATGATTGCTGATAATCTCACAAATTAATGAGAGACACAGATTCAGAAGCTCAGATAAGCAGGATAAATAGAAACAATGTACAGTCAGTCATATCATATTTGAACTACAGAAAATGAAAAGAATATGCTGAAAGATTCCAGAGGATAAAACCAACCTCCCTTATAGAGAAGCAAGATTACAAAGCACAGTAGACTTGCCCTCAGAAGCCATGCAACCAAGAAGAGACTGGAATGAAATATTTACAAGTATTAGAGGGGAAAAAAAAAAAGCACAAAAAACAAAATTCTCCATACAGAAAAACTGTTGTTTACAAGTGAAAAAAAAATACAGGCATTCTCACACAAATCAATTTTGGACAAAATTTGTTGTCAATATATGACTTGCAAGAAATGATAAAGGAAGATCTTCATAGAAGAGAAGGAAAATGATACAGTTCAGAAAAACAAATGCACAGAAAAAAGGGAAGAACATGAGAAGGATAAGAAAATAAAATATAATTTCTTTCTTATTCTTAATTAATGTAACAGATTAGCAGTTAGTTAAAAATTTTAACAATCCAATAGAGACACATAACTGAAATGAAAAATGAACAGGAAGGAGTAACTGAGGATAATGTTATAATATACTACACATGATGTAGTACAGTATAATTTTAAAATGGACTTTTGTTGGTTATGCATGTATAATATACACTCTAGAGAAACCACTGAGGAAAAAATAAAAGGTAAAAAACTAACACAATTGATATGCTAAGTGTGGTGAACCCTCTGCCATCAAGTTGACTCCACTCACAGTGACCCTACAGGACAGAGTAGAACTGCCCCATAGGGTTTCCAAAGCTATAAAAAACCGTTATGGAAGCAAAATGCCTCATGTTTCTCCTGCAGAACAGCTGTTAAGTTCTAAGTGTTGACCTTTTGATTAGCAGGCAAATACTTTTAACCTCTAGGCAACCGGCCACTGGAGCTCCTTAAGTGTGGTAATCAAAATTACATAAAAACACTAATTAAGACCAGAAAAGGCAGAAAAGATCAGAAGACAAAAAAAAAAAAAGAAGAAGAAAGAAAGAAACAGAAAACAAAAAACAATAAGGTATTAGTACAACCATATTAAAATGACCCTTGGTGGTGCTTCTGGGTGGCTATAAAGCACAGGCCTTTCAGCTAATAGACTCCAACAGGCAAGTACTCAGCACCTAGGGACTCCCTAGCTTGGATAGAAAACCAATGAAATTATTCCATTTTAGGAGCAGAAAGAATAAAGAATGTAAAAAAGTGAACAAAGCCAGAGGGATTCATGGGACGACATGAAGTAGACCAATATATGCATGAGGGGTATATCCAAAGGAGAAGTGACAGAGAAAGGGGCAGAAAAAATTATTTGTAGAAATAATGGCTCCCAAATTTGATGGAAAGACACAGACCTGGATATCCAAAAAGCTCAAAGAATTTCAAGAAGGAATCACTCAAAGCACACACATAGCAACTGTAATCAAATTGCCAAAAGATAAAAGCACAGAAAGAATGCCAAAAGCAAAAAGGGAAGAGACTCATCACACACAAGGAATTCTCAATAAAATGAACATAAATAATTTCAAACAGAAAACATGTCATATTTAAAGTAGGGAAAGAAAAGAAAAGGGGGGAGTGGAACGTCAACTGTTGCTGTTGTTGTTACGTGCCATGGAGTCGGACACGACTCATAGCGACCCCCCCTTGGATTTCCAAGGTGATAACACTATGGAAGTAGATTGCCCAACCTTTCTTCCAAGGAGTGGCTGGTAGGTTTGAACCACCAGCCTTCTGGTTAGCAGACAAGTGCCTTAGGCACTGTATTTTTCTGAAACTTCCAATAAGATGGTGGAATAAGGTAGACAAGCTACAAAGACCCTCTTCAACAAAGAAAAGAGAAAGCAATTGACACAACAGATACAGAAGATAATCCTGGAGCCCTGAGCTTTGAAAGGAAGGATACAAAAGTGGATTAAACACCAACTAGTAGAAGAACCTGAATGAAAACAGTGAATAAGAAGACAAAAGTACCTGCTGACTGTCAGTTATTGTAACAGCATAGACAGTGTGATTATTTTCAAGTGGTGTTAGGACCTGAGAATTAACCTAAAAATAAGCCCAGCTCACCAAGTGCATGCTAATGACTATAAAAGAAAAAAGCAAAGAAGGAAACAAATTGAGCTGTAGACT